CCCCCCCCGACATCTTTCAATGCGTCGTACGATGATTCGGAAAATAAAAAAAGAGAAGATTCCCCTGCAATCCCTGAGAGAGATAATCGTCCGCGTGTCTTCGACGGTAATAATTTCATCGCGAGCGTAAACACGAGTTTCTCGAGCCAAAGAAACGAACGGTGTTCGTGGCGCAACGGAAGTGAACAGGCAGAAGAAGATAATCGTGGCAATTTTCTTGATTCCAGGATCATCGATTATCCTCAGTTCGGAGGATGAACGTCGCGGATGAGAAAGAAGAAATTCTCGATAGTGGACAACGTTGTGATATCGAGATGGAGCATCATGCTAAGCGATTTCTGCTGATCGGTGAGGTTCTTGCTCTTGCGCGACGTCGCCATATTGCGCCGCGAAAACGGCTGTTTCTCGGATAATCTGGACAAGAACCGACCCAGCGTTCGAATCGTTCGAGCACAGGCCATTCGCGCTGGCTCGTTAATTCCACGCCCATTCAAAGCTTTACTGCCAGTCGACCGACGGATCCGGGATATTTCCTCGGGCAACGTTTGGGAAATCTACCGATGGGGAACGAATACCGATATTTCTGACGGCTGTTTGCGGTTTCAGCGGCCCGTTCCTCGCCAGGAAACGGCTGCTTACCGACAGATTTTTGACGAGTTCGATCCGTCAGAGTCCAGCCATCGGTCAGTTCGTTCGAGGCATTGTTACAGTACGTCCAGAAATTATTATTATTATTATTTTTTTTTTTCTAAACCTGTTTCATTTTTTTAAATCTCCTTTTCAGATCGCATCACATCTTTCGCCTCTGTTGGATTCTTCGAGCCATTTTAAACTGAGATCACGTGGCTAGGAATCTGAAGAATCCAGAGATCTGAAAGAAATTCTCCAATTTTAAGAAATTCTTTTTTTAGGCAATTTCTCTTCCGAGCCAGTTGTGAAGTTTGTGGATATAAGAAATTCGAAGAGCAGTTGAAGAACGAAACTGACAAGTGAAATACAAATTTTCTAACACTGAGTGACTTCATTGAAACGTTCTTGTTATTAAGAATGTGCGATTAAGGTACTCACTCAGTTACGTTAGTTGGCAGCCATTTGTGAGAAACCCTAGCGATGCCTCTTACCTCCTTATACCGACCAGTTGTCCTCGTTTTCGCAAAGAACTTTATCCAATAATGCAATTAAGACCGCGGCAATGGTACGTTCGCGTGTAACGATCGAATTAAGCGCAACGAAATGTTCTTGGTGCAAAACTAACTACATATATATATAGATATATATATATGTATATACTTCTCAGCGGTAATGCATTTCAGATTGCGCGAGAGTCTAAGTAAAAAGTTCAGTCGCGTGAAACCTTCGTCAAAAATCCCATTTGTTCTCGACACTTCGATGTAATCCACAATAATTACGATGATATATTTCCTCGTTTATACATGATAACCACCACTTTATAAGCATTGTTCGATATTTTCCAAGTATGATAGAACTCCATTTACCATTGGAAGACAAACAGTTTGTAAGTAATGGGGTAACTCACTGATCCTCTCCATTATTTTCAAGTTCACATTCAGACAAACGGATATACAAGAAGTCCATTGAACTATAGCACGACCATCGAACTTTCCTCCACGTTCCTAGATTTCTAGATCTCTAGAACTTTCAGCTTTTTGTAGATATTGAGTGATTGGTTCTGCAGGTAGCGTATATATTTTTAATTTACAGTACAGAGGTTTCTAGATTTGTTTCTATTGATTTATCTCTCTGATTCTGTATCAGTTCACGCTTCTACGTGTTTTTTTAATAACTTAAGAACGTAGATATCCGTCCAGTAAGTTCCACACGCAGTGAAGTTGTAAAATCTCGCCCCAACGAACAGAATTTTACCAAAATCTAGAAACCTGTACTCGCTCGTGGCAAAACGATCACAAACTGATCTCATCTTCATCCACAGTGCGTGGCAGCAGGCTACGAAGCGAGCGGCAAAAGGGAAGAATGAGAAGCGACGCGAGCGTTGGCGGCCGTTTCAATCTCTGTTTGGGGCCAGTATTAATATTTATCGAGCGTTTTCGAGGTGCAGTAATATCGGGCGAGGCGGTGGCGCAGCGGGCCACGATAATTTCATTGCTTAATTCGAGCGGGCCGGGCCTCTGGCCCAGAGGGTCGGAGCCAGCGAGGGCGAGCAAACGCGCAGAAAATCGGCCAACGCGTGCACGCGCGCTCGTCCGTTTTTCGTGGCCGCGAAATCACTTGGAGGGTACCCAACGGCCGTAAAACGATCGTTTCGTACCGATCGAAAAATATTACGTCTTCATGGACACCGAGGTTACGCCGTCAGTATAATTTCGTCATTAAACTCCTTCTTTTGTGTGTGTGTGTGTGTGTGTGTGTGTGCTTGTTCTCCTGTTTCATCCCTGTTATCGTGTATCGTGTAAGAAGGAGAAGGAAATGAGAAGAAAGAAAGAGATGATCGATCGGTCGATAATAATGATTTCCGTTGATGATAGCTCGCCAGTTATTATACACGTCTCGTCGATGAAACGAAGGAAGACGGACGTACAGAAAGACGTAAGAGAGAAGAGAAAGAAGAGAGAGAGAGAGAGAGGACAGGATAAGAGGTGCGTTCGTGTTTTAAGAGCTGGAAGCGATTGGTCGACGCCATTACTCACACCGTTTGCGCCTGCCACATGGCTCGATGGATCTTTTCTTCTCTTCGCTCGCGCCCTTCCCCCCCCCTCGCTCGAATTTCTTCCTTCTTGCTTCGAGAGTTCGTAACTTGCGCTTTCGCTCGATTCACCGGATACTCGGTGATTGTTGCATTGGTGCTTGTGTATGCACTTTATTCGTCACGTGTTCTAAACGAGAAGATTATGGGGATGGTTTGTTAGTTAAATGAGTCAAGTTGCCAGAGACATTGGAGTAGAATCTTGAAGAAGAGAGTACGAAATAGTTTATTTCCCTAAGAAGGACATTTATTAGAAATAAAGAGAGAACGCAGGGAACTAATTTGTTCTGTCATTCGTATACATCTAACATTGCATCTCGTGTAGAAATTTCTTTCCAATACATCCAGATGCAGCTTGACTACGTGAAAAGGTGCGATCGCACGGTTAATTTGAAAACTTTCAGACCCGCCACTCCGACTCGCGTTCTGTCATATACCTTGCACACCGGCAAAGAAGCGAACGCGGTGGCTACCCGTCGGGGGTTTACGCGAAACGATCCGTCAAATTGGCTTTATGCAAACCTGTGCTTTATGTGCCCGTGCGTTTATGCAAACTGGCCCATTAGCGGGAAACCGACGCGCGTCAATCCGTTTTAAAAGTGGCGCGTCAAACTCGCACGCCAGCGCCGGGACCAGCGGAGGAACGCGTGTGCACGCTCATCGAAGGGAAACGTGTTCATACGACTCGTCGACGGCTCGTTAAACGCGACGATGCCCCGCGTGAACACGAACGGAAAGTTCAACGGATAGTTGAACCGACTGAAAGCCTGCCCCGTGGCAAATGAATTCGCGTGCAGCGCAGTTTTAGGCAAGCTAACTGCAAACCGTAGAATATCTATCAGCATCTGAAGAAATTCGAAATCGCTTTGGAGGATCATTGAGGAGGATGTTTGAAGCCTGTCGATACCAGACCACTTTGCGTTTAATCAAACTCACGTGCAACGTTAATTTCAAACTCCACGAGTTAGAATACCTGTTGAACAACTTGCTACTTGTCCTTTTTGCTCGTTTCTCTCTTCAACTCGAAACAACTGCAAACAATTGCTTTATCGCTAAAATGAGATATCAAAGCAATATATAAAAGTTGAACAAATACATGGTGTTAGAGCTCTTTGTAGTTAAATTATGTACACACAACTTCTTCTAGAATCTTCTAAATACAAAGGAGAATCTAGAATCTATTGTCCTATTTCTAGATAACTTTTTAGAAATATCCAACAGCAACGGTTCGTCCGCTTTTTCATGCTGGCGAAAAGTCTTAACTAGTCCGCCACGCTCCATCGCGGCTATAGTGTCGCGATCATTCGTTGTTATTATTCCTGGTCGCTGACTTTGTTTTGCTTAATGTCCTCTAGAAACGGTTGGCATCGGATGTTTTAATTTCAGCACTTTTTAGATAAACTACGTCAGGACAATCAGACGGCCAGCATTTTAAAGTGATTGGTTGGAACTCGCTAGCAAACTCGTACGAAACAAACTCGGCGTCAGCGATTTTTCGACTTCATCGGAATCGTTCAACGCTTCAGCAATGTAGTCGCTATTCGCTTCAGGAACCAACGCTTCGAACCGCCGGATCCATGTCATTTGGTCCTTCAAGCCATAACACAAGGTATGAGATATAAAAGAATCAAATTAAGAGCAAAGTCAATCGAGAACAAACTAAAGAAATATGGGTAATCGTTATATAACAGATCGTCTTATTAAACTTCTATCATTCCTTTCTCTGAAACGAAATTGTTACGCGAAGACATAGTTGTTACATATTATTCGACTATGATCGAGTAGCTTAGAGAAATAAGAAAAGGATTTTTGAATCGTTGAAATTCGACGCTTATGAGGCATGACGCGACATGATAGTCTCTTTGTCCAGGACGTTATGAAGATGTCGCCGAACGAACACCGTCACGAAGACGTGCGAAGCGTTTACAAAACGCTTACGCGTACTACGGGCCGCGTACACATCAACGCCGGCCGCATTATCTGATGGCACCGACATACGTCTTCGCTGTCAGCCGATCGTTAAGGGAACAATCAGACATGCCGGAGACGGATCGGCTGCCAACCACTTCCACCCTTCCATCCCCATCCTCTTTTTCCTTCTTCGTTATTTTTTTCCTTTTTTTATTCCACTCTCTGTGCTCCGTCTTTGCACTACCAAAAAAAAGGTTCATCGTTTCCTCTCCTCTTTGTTTCTATTACAGAAGAAAATTTCACAATTCAGGAATATTACGATTAAGGCAATTTAGGAATTTACTGTCGAAATTTCTTTGCTTTTCGTTTGAAATATTTCCACCTTCAAACTGTAGACATAAGACAAAAAGTTCTATTCAAAGTTGCTAAAAGATCGCTATTTTTCGCTCTGGAAAGCGTGCTTTCCTTATGAGACGATCTATAACCGTTTTTACGCAATAGTGGGAAGATCCAATGGCGCACCGAATAGAAATTCGATTACTCGTGTCCCGCAGGTGTTCCCCTCACGGTGTCCCTTTATTACGTGACAATATTGCGAACGTTTCTTGCGGGCAATAAAGCGTCTTAAGATCCGTGCCAGATGTCACCGTGGCTGGCGTCATATACGAGACCGAAATCTCAAATATTAGCGGATTCCCGGCCGGATAGAGAGGATGGTACCCATCTACGCTTTAATATCGCGATTTTTTTCCAGCCCTCGCCGATGCGCGCCGCGACACGTGCGCGAAACGGCTTATAAAACTTTCGTGGAGCCCGGCCATCGCCACGAATGGCTATCATCCCCTTATCGCCGACTGATGAAACAGTGATGTGTAGATGAAATAAAGCTTTCTAAAGAAAAAAATTAAAAAGAACATTCTTAGTTACGTCGTTGAAATATATCGTTTATTTTCGATGGAATTTTTATGAAAGACATTGGCAATTTTTTTATATAAAATATCTGTTTTGATATGCTGTATTTAATTTTTGCATTAGATTCATTTATTATACATTTTCTCTCACACAATTTGAATTATTTCAAGAAGATTATTCAAAAGAGAATTTTGAATATTTGTAATTCGCGGAAAATGTTATGTGCTGCTATCTATTTACATTCACATGCACCTTTTTAACGATAGCATATTTATCCCATGTTGGTAAAATAAAACAAATCTTCTTTATCGTCATGTTTCACTGAGTCGGTATTTTAGGACTCTACTTAATGTTGCGTCTCCCGTGTTTTAGACATCGATTGTAATATTATGTAACGATAAGATTATTAATTTATGGAGTAATACGCAAGCAACATAGTGTCCTTAGTATATTTATTTTTTATGTATGAATTATGTATATACATGTGGATTTCTTCGAGGCAAGTCATGGTCTTCATACGAAATCTAGCCTCTTAGTATTCGAGTTTAATCCTTTTAATGAGAGGAAAAAAAAGGATGATGATTTTTCTTGATGATGTAGATGATAAAATAAAATGATGTCTCAATGATAGCTACGACGTAGCACACTCTATTGCTAAGTAGCTTCATCACATTGTTAATTCCTAAAACAGACGAGAAGTAAAATATAAGTAATCAAATTATACATACCAAATCATTTCTTTATATGCAAAAATTTAATCAGTCTGCCAAGATTTTCAACAGCATTTTATATCTGATATAAATACGAAACCATTGTCAAAGTCATCATATAATATTGTTCCATAAAATTTTGTAATTCTATTTGAAGACTTACCATAATAGCATTAACGATATCATTCTGATTATTTTTAAGAGCTTTAATGGCTTTCCCTCGGGAGACATTGGCCTGACACATTACTAAATCAATGTCTTTTTCTTCGACTCCCGTTTCATCTACTTCTTCTTCTGATTCTTCTTGTATTGGAGCAACAACCTTTAGAAATAGAAAGTCAAAGAATAATGTTAGAACACACGTTTTACTATTGTGTAGCAATCGAATACAGTATCTTCTTACCGTAGTACTACCACCAGCTTCAGTTGCTGGAATAACTGGTGGCTCTTTGAACTTCTCAGCTGCTGCTACCTGGGCTTGTTGACTAAGATCTTCAATCTATAAAACAGATAATTTATTTAAATAATTAAATATTATAATGTTTGAAAGAAAGTAGTTATTGAATGTATCAATTTGCCAAACTCTATTTTCTACTTTTCACAATATGCAACACACAAAAAAAGCATCGTACTAAATTTTACCTTGGCTTCGCCAAATACTATGTAAGTATCTGAGGCTGGATTCTTCAACACATCTGGCTTATTGATTACAAACAGAATATTCTTTGATTTACGTATAGTTACTCTATTAACACCTTGCACCTGTACAAAATAATCTAAAGTATTTATTTGTTATAAAATGATATAACAAGAGTATATAATAGCATTTATTCAACATACAGGCTTCAATCCCAATTTGCTCATTAGCTTCCTGGCCTTTTTCTCTCCTCGACTTTGTTTAGCTTTAGAAACCATATCGATGGGAAGACCAGTGACGGTTGTCCCTGGAAAACCAACAGTACCACCAGCCCCTGCATCGTCCAATTCTGGAATAGTGTCATCTGAATCTGTATCAGTTCCTGATCCTGCTCCTGTTGCTTCAACTTTAGCAGGTTCAGAACTTGCAGCTTTATCGAGTTCAGTTAATTCAGGCATATTTCTTAATCTGGAATGAATAATCATGTTAGATACTACTGATGTATATTTACCAGTTTTCATTACACATTACAATTGAAACAAACTTATAACATAATTGCAAAATAATTAACATTTGTTCTTTTTGAGAAAAATTTAATTTTTTAAGATATTAACGATCTTGAATCTATATATTCAACTTAATTTTTTTCGCTAAAACAATCATTCTATAAAAATCGACCGCACGTGTATTATACCGGGTTAACAAATTCTGCCCCACCTAATATATCCTTGATCATATTACGATTTTCAATGAACACGAGCGATAAGATACGAGAATAAAATAACAATGAAATTGATGAGCAAACTACAAATTATTAATAAATAATAATAAATACAAAATAACTGAATAACAAGGATAAACACTTATCACACAACAATTCTAACAGACAAATGGACGCTGTTATGGCGCCCACTGAAGGTAGTCAAAAAATACTTGCAAAACTATGATCGACAATTTCCGTTGTTATTTATGTTTAATTATTGTGACAAGTTTAACTGTTTTACAATAATCATGAGTGACATTTCAGTAACATTTCTGATCTCTTCACGTCTTTATACAACTGTTTTAAATCGTTATGAAGCGCGATGAACTTCGCATTGAAGCACAAATATTTCGCATATTCATCGTTAAAAATAAATCATTACAGGTAATATGATTTACGTAAAAAGATATGTTTGTTATTTGTTTCTCGATATTCGCGCTCTTTTACTATCACTACACAACGATGCCGAAAAAATCGTTAGATTTACCTCGAACGATAATCCGTCGACGGCCGAGCACTATTTTTACCATGTGACTAAGACCAATTCACACGTGTGCCCTAATGAGCATAATTTTGTACTTTTAAGAACGCAAGATGCGAGCGAATATTTTATTAAATCAGCATCCGCAATTGGCGAGCTAAAAGAGAAACATTATGTTTTACGGAATTTATTTATAAAATACTTTAAAGAATATTCAACATAATTAAACATTTAAAAATATACAAAAGAATTTATTGTAAGAATGTAAGAATATGTAACAATATATAAAAAAATTTATTGTAATTTATTTACATATATATTTATATATTTTTAAATGTACAACAATAATACACATTTGTACTGTAAATTGTAGTCTGAATATTTTATAATAGTTTTATATTGAATATATAGTTTTAAGAATTAAAGAAAATTGAAATCAATTAAAAATAATTTTTAGATATCGAAGCTTGAACAATCAACAGAAACGTTGATAAAGACATTGTTAATGATTCAATTATAAATGCATGTAGTAGCAACATTATTCTTATTATTATTTCTATATTCTTTTGATATTATAAATAATTGTAATTTTAAATGAACCACCAGGTAATGCGGATTCGGATGCTGCGGGTCCGCATTACCTGCTGGTTCATTTACAATTACAAATCCAAAGAGAAAGAAGTTCAAAATTATGAAAAGAATGAAAAAATAGATCCATTTGTGCTTATTACATGCATTTGTTTACTACATGCATTTTCAAATGAATCACTAAAACGTTCAGTCTTTATCAACGTTTCTGTCGATTGTTCAACATTTTCGAAATCTAAAAATTATTTTTCATTGATTTCAATTTTCTTTAATTCTAAACAGTTTATTTATTATTTTTCTTCATATTCAAATCTAAATCCGATGCACTTATTGATTCTGTTTGTCCGTTTTTCAAATGTTCCCTATTTTCATCAGATGACAAGTATTCAGAAGTATTTAAAGATGAATTACGCTTAACATCATACATTAGTTTCGGAGCAGACGGTTTCTGTTTTCTCGCATGATTCAAAAAGTTGCAATAACTACATTTAAATCCTACAAAATAAAAATACATATATTTAGTATCGTAATTAAATCTTTATAATTAATTCTTTTTGGTAAATTATGTGATAATGTTTACCAAAATATTCAAATTCTTCTTTAAGAGCCATTCCATTGTGCGATTCACAACTTTGACAAATTAATGCATATCGATTTGATGGACCATCTCCAACAAGATAATCAATTAATCGATCCAAACTAGTTCTTCTTTTAGGTAATATTGGACGTGGTAATATTGGTAAATGTGATACTGGAGATTCTATTATAAGATTCATACAGCAGAAGAAAAATAACATATAAATGGTGAAAAAGAATATTAATTGTAATCCATAAGATACTAACTACAATCTTTATTTGGAGTATTAATTGATCTATCAGCACTCTGTAAATGAATATTTGGTGAATTACAAACAAGAGTATCACATGGAACATTAGTGTCAGTAGGTATATTATTTTGCACAAGTTGTGTTTGATTCTGATTCATTATCGCACGTTTCCTCAATTCTCCAGAAAAAGACATGAGAGATTGTGATGTATTAGATTTTTGAAGATTTTTAGGCTAAAATGAAAGTTTTTTTTCAGTTGATACATTATTTTCTCATTCAAATTATCTTTATATTCTTCAAAATACAAACCTGTGGGGATAGCTGAAAGTGAGAAAAAGAATTAATTCATTTAAAAAAATATAAATAAAAAATATATTGTATAATTAAAATAATTTAATCTACTTAATCTACTTACTGAAGTCATTATTGTTAGTTGATCAGGAGCAAACTTTAACAGAATTTCTTTAGCTTTTTTGTACGTTTCAGTCTCTGTAACTTCATCTAAAATTTTTTTTTTCTCAGATTGCATGGTACTTAATTTATCTTGATTTTTAGAAATTTTAGATTTATAATACCATGTTACCATTTTTTTTGTAAGCAATATTCTGTGACAATAAAATGTATCATTACAATAATTATAAACAATAATAAAAGAATGCAATATCAAATTACTTACAAAATTGGAAAAATTAACAACGAAATAATATAGAATATTTGGTCATATAGTGATGTTTGGAAGAAATAGAAATAAAAAATAAATGCTGATATAATATAAAGTAACACGCTATATAATATAAGAATTCCAACAATTCTTTTCTGTCTTTGTTCTGTACTATATCCATATTTTTCTATCTCTTTAATTTTCTGTTAAAGAAGAAATTTCTAACATAAGTTACTAACATAAATATAAGTGAAAAAATGTATGTAAATAATTTACCGTATCAAGATCCTCCAATGTTTCAATTGTGGTTTTTTTTCTCTAAAATATAAAAATTTATAAATATTAACAGCTTTGTATATAATTTATTGATTTTCTATAAGTATTTATAATATTTCATAAGCACTACATTATATATATATATTTTTTAAATAATATATATATATATAATATATATAATTAATTTTCATTTTCTATTGCATATATTTATATACAAATGTATTTTGAAAGAAAATGAATTTTAATTTAATTCAAATGAATTCACTATAGTGAAGCAAACATATTTATGGAACAATAATTAATATGAAAACTTATAAATAACTACATATTTAACATATTAAATTATAATTTTTCTTTCAAAATATATTTTTTTATATATAACACTTTTTATTATCTGAAAAGTATAAAAAATATCTTTAGAACATTTTTTTAACAAAAAAGAATCTCGTATATTATTAATTAAAAAATACAGGCAATTTGTTTTCACTATTTCAGCATCCACAAAATTTAAACAATTTGAAATGTAAAAAAAGGTACTGAATAATAATTTTGCATCGTATGACAATTACATCTACATATGTATATCTGTTACAGGTCAGTGTTGAATAAACATTCAATACAAATTTTATTCAATTAAGTTGAAAATCTTGAACTATAAAAATTTCAGATTATAAATTTTTACATTATAATAGTTTATAAAATAATATATTTATAAAAATTTAATGTTGTTTATGTTAATAATAACTTACGCCAAATCTTGATAACAGAAAGCTAAAAATTCCCATTTTAATCAACCGTTGGTGCCAAATTTAAACTTAAATCACTTTGTGCTTTGCTTTGATATTTACAGTTTCAGTATTTATAAGAGTCAGTATTTATAAGAATCATATTCTCGACAGTAATACTATTTGTCATGACCTTTAAAAAAAATTATTATTTTTTTACACAGAATATTCATATAAAGCGAAAATAATATATTAATAAATCAGTTGATATCGAAATTCTTTTCACTTGTCACTTTTTGTCGAATAAGTTAATTAAGTGTAAAAAAAAACGTATATTGAATTACATTCATTATCATTTCATGTTCGTTTCTATCGATATTAACCAGTCGCGACATGTTCTGTTTAAAACTGCGAACGAAACTGAAACGCGCAGCTTTAAACACACTATATAGAATATGGCTCAACTCACGCATTGATAAATAAGAAATACAATGAAATAAAAATATGTTAACATTGTGTATATATATATTTTTTTTGAATATTAAATATATAACTGACGTTTTATACTTAAGCACATATTATATGCGTATTTATACTTAAGCATATAACAATCATTTCTGTTATTTTTCTTAAATACAAATAGCAAACAGTAAATATAGGCATCTCTTTTGTCAAATTATCTACGTTATTAAAAAGTATGAAATCATTTATGAAAAAACTGAATTTATACAGTTTTCAGTGTGATATATCTATTAGTGTGAACTGCTTTCAATCCCATTGCAATATATTTATTAATATAAGGAATTGCTTGTTCCACAAGTAATATCTCTGTAGCTGACATTTTAGGTAGTCCGAAGTTTTTTTGTATACCGCCTGGACCGAATTGCAATTTGGTAGTGAAGTATCGACATCCCGGCAAAATGTTTGATCGTGCATAAGCAGAAGAAATAATATTTTTATGGCCGCTAAGTCCTTCGGCAAGCGCTAGGATTAACTTGGCAGTTGCTGCTCCATCAGACAATATTGGACCTTTGAATTCAATATTTTTCATTTCTCTATCTGAGCTACGTAACGATTGTAACAACATTTCTTGTTGCACCTACATAAATTTTTAATTACGAAAAATTCTTCCTTTTAACTATCAATAATTTAATATAAATGATTATAGTTTCATACATTAGTAAACCGATTTATCGGAGAAGCACAAGATAAAAGCGGAACAACAGTGTTCAAATCTGCTCCGCCAACCATTGGGACTGATAAGAATGCAGGATTTAAATCTAACAGATTTGCGGTTAATGCCTCCATTCGCATGCGATCACGTGCAATGGAACCAATAATTCTGTCCGGATCCCACCATCCAGCGAGTTTGTAAATTTCTGATACCATGGGCAGTGTAGCTGTTACTGGTCGAGTAAAAACGGCTACCAAAGATTCTGAACTCAATTGTGCCATTTGTTCAGCCATCTCGCTTACGTATGACGACGCAGCCTCAAACTGTGCTGTGGGTTTTAATTCATTGTTGGGATTTGTTTCATCCATCAATGCAATAATGTTTATCTGTAAATAATATCGATTTCTGCATATTAATATTATGTAGTCAATGCTGTGCTACTCATTTTTTCATTGTTTAATAAATAAATACATACTTTTTTAAGGGCTTCTTTTAAATGTTTTCTTTTAAAATGTTTAATACGAGGCGATGTATCAATGCGATTGACATCTAAAATTGCATTAGCTAATGAATCTTTTGCGTCCACCACATGTATTCGTTTTATAAGACGAAATTGTTTTAAAAGAACAGCAGCGTATATCAATGACGCGCATCCTCCAATCATGCAAACTCTTATGTTGCCTTTATAATCTGGCAGAAAGCAATTGCAATTTTTGAACTGAGACTTATTGTTAACATTAGGTTCCTTTTTTAATTTTAGCTCCTTTATTTTATCTTTTGCATATTTTGATTTTTCATCAATTGGCATATTTGAAATATTTCTGTAAAAGCGGCATGAAATGCATTTTTTGATAGATTTCAAAAAATATCGTTGTTTTCCAATCATATTCAAACATCTGTTCTAAATTGATCTGTTGAATCACTGACGATAATTTTTTAATACTGTCAAACATTAAAGAAAGATAGAAGATAAAATTCAAAAAATATTTAGGTTACTGGTTTAAAATAGATTGATTTAAATGAAAAAAAAACAATCGAATAGCTTTAAAAAATTATAATATGTGATAAACATAAAATTTTATTTTTCTATTGCTAATTCTCCCATACATTTTGTCTATAATTTTTATGTTTATTATTTACTTGTATTTATTTGTATATTATATATATGTCAACGTAATTACAAAATGAATTAGACAAAAATAGAAATTAATATAATTTCAATACATTATATAACTTTATTACAATGTATAAAATATTATTTCCACTTAAATAAAGAACTTGATATTGTTCTATTATTTAATTCTTGATTATAGTACGAATCTATTTAATTTGCTTCTATAATAAGATCAGACATATCTGGAACAGCTTGTAGTTTCAATGTTTTCTCATTTGCTAAATGTAACAAGGATACAAAAGAAATAGGAAAACTTAGAGCTTCTATATTAGTTTTTGTTAATAGATTCGGCAATACTTTATAAATTTCATTAAAACTTCTATTTTCTATCTTTTTTTCTTCTTCATTTTTTGTAATTTCTGTATTATTACATTTAGTTAGGCTTTTCCAAATGGATTTTTTTAATTGTCTCATATCAATTGTTTTAGCATGTGTGCTATATGTAATAGATATTTTATTGGTTAATTTAGGAATAGCTACTAAATTATCTCCAGTAAAAATCATTTGGGCTGCTACTTCATCGTCTTCAACTCTATTATATACAGGTTCATTATTAGCTTCACTTGCATAGTCTTCATTAGGAATATCAGGACAATAATTTGATATATCATTTTCATTATCATAATTATAATTTTCTATATCAGATATATGAGTAGCATCTAATTGATCCTGCTTTTTTATATTTATATGTATTAATTCATGAAGGTACAATTTACTGGCACTTGCAATATTATAATGCATGTCTCTTGGCAACGTAAGTCTCTCTTCATTCCAGTCTAAATTGACAATTTCAAACTTCGAAGCTTTACTTATTATAAATTTTGATAATATTTCTGCTCTTATACTATCATCGTAACATATTTCTATTTCTTTTTTTTTTCTACCCGGCTTCTGTGGGCAGGCAGCAATAATTTTACTTCCAGAAAGTTTTGTAAAATTGTTCATTTTCCAGTGAGATGGACCAGCCCAGTGTATACTCGAACTTTTCTGAAGAAATGAGTATTCAGATGGCTTAGTCACATTGACATTAGATAAAACTTTACATAAATCTACAATTTTTTCTGGTGGTTTTTCTATCTCAACACATTTCGTTATATTTTCTACATCATCTTGGATATCCAAATAATTCAAATCATCATGAAATATTTCATTCTCAGATGGTAAGCTAGCATCTAAATCAAATTGAAATCCATTTTCATTATTTTCCTTTGATTTTGTGTTTTTATTTTCTTTTTTTTCTTTGTCAACACCATAATTCCAGTCTTGAAAATCAAAATTAGTTAAAGGTGGACATATTTCTAGATTAGAAAAATCTTCTATCTGTGAAATAGTTACTTTTGTGCTTTTTTTATTTGCTTTATGTTCTACAATATCCATAATAACATCATTATACAATTGTAAAGAATATTTTGAATTTGCATGATTTGATAGCATTGCTTGATACAATTCATCTGTAGTTTGTGAATCTTTATTCTCCATTATCCAAGAAGGTTTCATAATTTCTACAGCTCCTTTTAAATTTTCTGCTATACTAAAAATTTTCTGTTTAGTTTTCTTTTTTCTTCTTTTCTTTTGTACATCGTTTATCTCATTTTGTAGCTCAGTATCCAATTGTTCATTTACTTCATCAATTGGACTGTTATCATGCTGTTTATCTATTCCACCAACCATCTTCATTATTTCTGTATGAACTCCATCTACACGAAAACCGTAGATTTTTGAGCTTACATCTAAAGATGTACTAGCTGCTTGCAGATTACATATGTTAGCATCTTGTTTTTTTATCATATATGACATAAAGTCAATTATTTCAAGTTTAAATGCATTTTTCACATTAATTTTGTTTTCAGTATTAAGTTTTATACATTCAATAATATGATCTTTTATTTGATGTGATGACATTTGGGCTAAACACCCAAGCCCCAAAGATCTCCGTTTATTGCTTGTGTTTACATTTTCTATTGATGTAGCACTTATTTCATATCGTCTAGCCAATTTTTCAGCTTCATCATTGTTTTCTACTAAATTAGGTTGTAATGAATTCTGTACCAAAATAGATTTTCTTCGCAAAGATGATGAGACTGACGTTTCTGATAATTCTTTTTCCATTTTGTAAATTTATTTAAATATATAGACAGCAAATATATATATTCACAAATATTTTTCTTCATTTACCTACGAAAAATATTTATAATTATATATTTTAGCAAAATATTAATAATATATATTAACGAAAACAAAAAGTTACTTATGAATCAATGAAGTGAAATTATCTATAATCTTTTCCAAATCAACCCTCATTAAACGTAACAATGTATAAAATTGTTGCAGCTGAATTTGCATTTGTCGAAGTATTTTCAACTCGTTCAAAAGTTCCTGAAAGTAACGCATCAATATTCACATAAAGAAATATCTTAATTACGATACAATAAGACTCTATTTTTGCATACCTTATCATCCATTTAAAATACAATTTAAATAAATACGCAGTAAACACTTCAAAACATTAATTAATATTGTACATTCCCTTCCACGGATTCCTCTTTGTTCAACTGAAATTGTCATAAATTCAAATTTGAATGTAAGTGTTCCTAAAATCATTTTATGTGATTAATAATAAAAAATATCTATTTTCATTATACATCTATTAAATTATTTTTTATCATTATTTCATAGATAATAATAGAATATAAAATTATATATTTGTTTAATATGTACAAAGTTTTGTTTAATATAAAAATATATAGTTTAGTGCTTTCATTCTCTTTTAGTAACTATTTTATTTAGTAATTTTCTGTCCAAAGGATCATTCTCTATTTGCTTCCCACCGATATATGTACTTATTTTGTTTTTCAACTACTTCTTTTATTTTTTTTATTTTTAAATTTATAGTTTGCGTTTATGCAATATATATCATTATCAATAATATATATTATATCAATATATCAAAATTTCAGGAGTGATAGCCAGTGTTCTTCGGTCTATGCACCTTGTCAATATGATCAATTAAAAAAAAAAGAAAGAAAAAAAACAAGAGAAAAAAAGGAAAAAAATATTTTAGAAAAATTCATCCACATTTTACGTTCCATTTTTCAATGGATTTTTTTCTTTCCAAGAGTTTGAAAAGCTTTAATAACATATGTTTCAATAATTTCAAGCTTTAATAACAAATGTTTCAATATTTCAAATAATGAGGAGTACAAAATAAGTATAAACATAAGGAGAATTTTTCATGAATCTTAAAATCAAGATTTAATAAAGTTTCATGTCGCAAATTACATTAAAATATATTTTGTTAACATCTAACATTTAGTAACGAAAAGTTATAAATTATTTAAAAATAAATAATTTTTTTAAGACGAAGATTCATCGATATCCATTTTTTCATCGCTCTCTTCACAGTTATGAACTTCTTTCTTTTCGGATCCCTGTTCGATATCCTGTTTTACACTACCTGGTTCATCAAGGACTGTAATTATTTATAATATTAAAATAATACTATTATTTATAATATTAAAAGAGTATAAAAATACGCGATTAACAGTAATATTATTTACCACATGCATTTTTAACTGATTCCGTAACATGTTCAGTCTCTTCCAAAACTTCTGTCGGTCGTTCAACCACTTCAATATCTGAATCTAAAAATTATTTTGAATTGATTTCAATTGTTTTCTTTGCTAATAAATGCTAAATAATTTTAATTGCTAAATAAATACTAAATAATTTATGTTTCAAACCTGAATCTGATGCACTTATTGATTCCGTTTGTCTATCTTTCAAATGCTCTATATTTGTATCAGGTGATAAATATTCAGAAGTATTTAAAGATGGACTATTATGCCCAACATTATACAGTTTTGGAGCAGATGGTTTCTGTTTCCTCGCACGATTCCAAAAGTTGCAATAGCAACATCTGAATCCTACAAAATAAAAATACATATATTTTGAATATTTAATATCATAATTAAATCTTTATACTTAACTCTTTTTGTCAGATTAAGACAAATGTTTACCAAAATATTCAAATTCCTCTTTGAGAGCCATCCCATTGTGCGATTCACAATTTCGGCATACTAGAGCATATCGATTCGATGGACCATCTCCGACGAGATAGTCAATCAACCGATCCAAATAAGTCCTTTGCCGCGGTAATACTGGACGTGGTAAAGGAGTTCCTATCACATGATACATTTATTAATTCCTTAATTTACTTTTCTGTATGAACATGTCTTCTATAATTATTTCTTCAATAAAACTTTAATAACAAAGTATTAGATCTCTTATTATTAAATTAACAATAAAAGATGTAATATATGATTTAAATAAAGAAATGAAAATTATAATAGTTGCAAAAATACTAACGATAATCCCTCAATGGAGTATTAACTGATCTAATACCACTCTGAAATGAAGTATTTGATGGATTCTGAGTGGGAGCTCTGCCAACTGGGACAGGGCCAGTGTTAGTAAATATACCACTTTGTACATTCAGTGGTTGATTTTGACTTGTTACTATACGTTTTCTCAGTTCTCCAGGAGGAGATACTGGAGATATTATATGGTGAGGTGTACTAGTTTGTTGCGGAGTTTCTGTTGATGATGACACTTTAAAAGTTTGCTAAAATAAAAGTTTTTTTTTACTAAAATTTTATGTTTTTCCTGTTCAAATTTTTGTCTAATATTTTATTATTAAAAAAAAGGTGATACTTAATTATTCAAATTTTTTCTTCACATATTTTATTGTGCAAGGTACTAACCTGTGGGGACAACTGAAAAATAAAGAAAATAATTCAATTATTTAAAAAAAATATGAATAAAAAATATACTGTATAATTAAAATTAAAAAGAATTATATTATATTATAGATCTACTTACTGGTGTCATTCTTAATTCATCAGGAGCAAACTTTAACAGAATTTCTTTAGCTTTTTTGTACGTTTCAGTCTCTGTAACTTCATCTAAAATTTTTTTTTTCTCAGATTGCATGGTACTTAATTTATCTTGATTTTTAGAAATTTTACATTTATAATACCATGTTACCATCTTTTTTGTAAGCAATATTCTGTGACAATAAGATGTATCATTACAATAATTATAAACAATAATAAAAGAATACAATATCAAATTACTTACAAAATTGGAAAAATTAACAATGGAATGATGTAGAATATTTGATCATATAGTGATGCAGGAAAGAAATAGAAATAAAAAATGAATGCTGTTACAATATAAAGTATTACACTATATAATATAAGAGTCCCAACAATTTTTTTATGTCTTTGTTCCGTACTATATCCATATCTTTCTATCTCTTTGATTTTCTGTCAAAAGAGTTTATAATAATTGGTAATTATTTGTTAAGTTACTAATGTCAACAAATAAATATAAATATTTTACCGCATCAAGATCTTCTAAAATTTCGATTGTTGTTTTCTTTTTCTGAAATATAAAAATAACTTATGTTTTAACCTAAATATATTATTAATAAAAACAAAAATATTTTCATCTATATTCTTTTTTTTTCAATGCAATTATTTATTATATATAAATGTATTTAAAAAAAAATTAAAGTTTTATTAATAAATTCATATATTAAATTAATAATTCATATATTAAATTATTAAGTTTTATAGTATTTATGCTTTTATGTAGTTTTATGTAATCTTATTATAGAATATAAAATAAATGATACATTTTTTGAGGATATCATATAGTACTACTTTAAAAAACAGTAAAACTTAAATCATTTGGATTTTATATCATTGAATAATGATTTCGTATTCTACGAGAGTTATGCATAAATGCATAAATTATAAGCCAATGTTAATTAATCAATATTTTCAGCTGAATTACAAAAAGGATTATAAATGTTTGTATTAGTAAAAAAATATATTTAAATAATTTATGTTGGTTAATAATAAGATATATATATGTTATTTTTTTAGTGAACTGTTCAAAACTTTCTTATTTTCGCGCCTAACCTAAAAATATTATCACCTGCGAAGAAATGCTTAATTCCGTCATATTTAAATATAAAAATATATATTATGTGTTAGAAGTTTTAACATTTATAAGAAAATATTATAATATCTAAACTATTCTCAAATACGTAGTAAAAAAATATATATAGTACGACGGAGTTTTAACCTTAGTAATACGGTATTAATATTATTTATGCATTAATTGTGACTTACACGAAATCTTGATAATATAATTCCCATGACGTCCAAATTTTAACGAATTCTTGTCGAAGATAAAATAGATCAAATGTAAGAGATTCATGCAATTTTTTCTTTTTTTTCTTTTTTTTTTTATTGAGCAAACTTCGAGCAGCTCAAAATTTGTAAAATATTCTTGGAATCAAGCCAATGCTGGCTCGTAAGCGAAGATACATAAGTTTTAACATAATATATATGTATACAGGTGTATATATATGCCTAGAATATGTATGCTGTATAATGCAGCAGAAAATGCACGACTACGCTGAAATATGTAACACACCTGTAGGAAATGCAAAAAGATTGTTAAGGACAGTTCTTATGTAACTCACTCAAAGCAATATCACCCTAGGGACTTTAATATTGTCATGTTAAAAACAGCAATAATGACCTACTTGAATAAAGAAATTAAATTTATTTTATTATAACCTATAAAAATTTATGATTAATTGAATTTGTAAATTTCGTAAAATTTGGAATTTTGTGTTATCAAGAAAATGTACAATGACAATATTTCGACGGTAACAGCGAATATGTTAATGACTGTTATTCATTTGTAATTTGGGTTTTAAAGAAACAATTTATAACTTTAGCAATTATTTTTATCCAAGGACTACGTGTATAAGACCAAAATCATAGAATATGATATAGATTTTGACAGATATATATATAATATTTATATTAAAATTATTTTAAATGAATTTTAATCATTCAACATTTCCATTTACCAAAATTTAACCAAAAATTATTTATGATTTAACAAAGTGAAATTGTCAATAATTTTTTCCAGATCAGCTCTCATTAATCGTAACAAGATATAAAATTGTTGCAATTCGAGTTGCATTTGTCGGAGTATTTTTAGTTCATTTAAAAGTTTCTGAAAATAAGTATTCGCACAAATTACCAGAGAATATATTTAAAATATAGTGAATTTTATTTCTCCGTACCTTATCATCCATTTGGAATAAAATTAATTAAAGTAAATACAAGAAGAAATATTAACTTAATCATATAAGTTTGATTCTGTGAAGTTCGCTTTGATCAACCGAAATTGTCATAAATTTAAATGCTGAATATAAGTGTTCTTAAAACCATTTTATCTGAATGGTATTTTTGATTGTATATCTAGGTATGACTTTTTTAAATATATTTTAACTGATAAATATAAAATAATTCACGATTTTAAAGTTTTTCAATAATTTAAGTATGACCTCGCTTTGACATAATATGGGAACCCAAGGTTAACTTTTGATAATATAGTCTTCTATTGTTTCTACTATTGGCAGTGCCGTTAAATGTGACAGGTCAGTCCGCAAGAATGGCGACCATGGTAGAAGAACAGAATTTGGTTGACATGGGTGAAGATAAAGAATCACAGTGAGTTGTGATAGATTAATATGAAAAATCACTGATAACCAACTTATAATTACATGAAAATATTGAAATAAGAATATTATGTTTACAATTAAGCTTTGGAAAAATAACCTAACGTATAACATAATATGTAACTTTCGGTGATATTTTTTAATTTTTACATCTATTTACATTACAGATTCGACCAAGTTACTTACAATTGGGTGGATATTACCCAAGAATTTTTCGATGCCATTACAGGTGCTTATTTTCTTCTTTGCAAATGCTTGCTTTGCAAGTTCTCGTTTTATTTCTTTTTTCTTTCTTATATTTTTTGTCTTATTGTAATCGAGAGGATTTAATTTTGATTTGCATACAACTCGTTTTATTCAAATAATCTTATAATTTTGTTCAATAAAATATTGTTAGCATTCAAGTATCATTATTTATTAGAACTTTGACTTATAATGATTGACTAATTGAAATAATCTTTTATACAACACAAAATACTTTATTGTTATGTTTATTTAGAGCTGGAATTGGGTGAACTGTTGCGAGATGAGTTGTTTGGATTATTTGAAGCCATGTCTGCAATTGAAATGATGGATCCGAAAATGGATGTTGGCATGCTATGTAATAGAGGCAACAACAAACCATGTACTTTTACGCAGGCTGTTGACTCTGGTGCATTGAAATTGGACAATTTGACTCAGTCAGAAGTTATAGGAATAATAGATTCAACTTATGCGTGCATAGTGTCTTGGCTTGAAGGTCACAGTTTGGCCCAAACGGTTTTCACTAACTTATATCTTCATCAACCCAGTCAAATAGTGGATAAACCTCTGAGAACCTTTTGTTATGCTGTATATAAAATAATTGAAATAATTAAAGATTGCATAAATAAAGCATTAGTTTTTGAGGAAGAAGATTTCCAGAGTGTTACTTATGGTTATAGATTGCAACAGGATATTACAGAACAAAAAATCATATCCATGTTGAAAGAAGTAGAAGATGAATTACCTAGGAAAAGTAGAATAAAACCAATTCATGTAGTATCTGAGAAAGAAGTAGGTGCATGTTTAAAAATATGTTGGATTTTTTTTGAACAATTAAAGATATAAATAATTATACCTTATTGAAATCATTATTATTTCTTTCAGTATGGTGATAGATTAGCACTCTATGCCAGAATTAGATTTACTAAGATATTTTATCAAATTTTATCATTAATGGGAAAAAAAGAACAACTGCAACAAAATTTAAATGAGTGTCATACATTGTTATCAAGATGTTCTTATATGATTCAAATAATGATTAAGACAGTAAACAGTGGAGAGAAAGCTGATGAAATATGTAAGTTTTTCAAAATTCATGGCTTACCTGTATAAATCAAGTATTATGTAATGATTGTAGCAAATTATCCAAATATTATGGGGTTTGACCCTATGGTAAATCAAAGATTATTACCACCAACATTTCCACGGTATACAAAAATAAAACCAAGAATAGAAGCTTTAAAGTATTTAGATGAGTTGTTGAATAGATTTCGAACAGTTACTATGATCACTAATCAAAATGGTTTTCATGCAGCTTTGGTAAGAAAAAATCTATAGATTACTAGAAATTTTTGATATAAATTCCAAGTACACTGATTTCTTTTTAGGACTTTTTTTTAGAATTTTCACGACAAAGTCCATGTATATTATCCAGATCAATGTTGCAAATAGTTTATTTACCTACAACAAATCGGGTATTCGGTGTCCAAAATTTTGCTGATGTTTTGAAAGATGCAGCGCGGAATTTTATAGCGCCTCCAGTACTAATGCCAAAGAGCACGTTACTCCAAAATCATCAAGCTAAGGAATATGTTGATAGTTTCTTATCTCATTGTGTAGGCCTGTTTGGTAGTTTACTACAACTTACTGGCCACAATAGGGCAAGACAGAGAGATAAATTAGCACACTTATTAGACGATTTTGCAATATTACAGGACGAAGTAAGTTCTAAAGAGTACTCAATTTATATTTCAACATTTAACATTCATAACTTCAAACTGACATGTATTTGTAATTTTGGCAGGCTGAAAGAGTTGATGGATTCTTACATGCTTTGTCACTGAAAAGTGATACACCTAGATCACATTTAGCTTGTTTTGGAACGTGGATTTTGTATCATACGTTACGAGTTATGGTCATGTATTTGTTAAGTGGCTTTGAATTGGAATTATATTCGGTCCATGAATATCACTATATATTTTGGTACCTGTATGAATTTCTTTATGGATGGCTTGTATCAGCTATTACAAGGGCCAATACATTCTTAATGGAACAAGATGTACATAATGATACACATAAAGGTAGAGGTAGTAAGAAAAGTGCGAGAAATAAGAAGAAAAAATCAACATCAAGACCATATAACTTAGAAATATTAATGTATCAAGCAATGCAAAATATATGCGGAGGGTATTACAAAGTAAATTATTATATCTTTGGTTTTTTGTAAAAGTTATTTCTAAAATGATTTTATTTCATCTAAAAAATTTATTTCAAAGGCTTTAGTTGGTTTCCGTATGGATGGTAAAATATTACTTCCTGAGTCGCCATTTGATTCAGAACGAGTTCGATATGAACATAGGTTATTGCCGTTTTCTTCGTTACTGACTCCACCTCCGGTACATTATCAAGAATTCCTAGATATGACAAATGCACAGATGCATAAAAGAAACGTGAGTATACTGATCCGCTCTTTCTTTTTTTTTTAGCAGCATTCTTTCTTAACTTCTATTTTCCTAGGAGAAGGTTACTAGTGAAATGCTGTACTTAGCTGGTTGCCGTCATTTTCATCAAGCTAGAAATATGTTAGAACGAGCATTGTCTCTTTATTTACCGAACGCTAGTACTGTGAATGAGGTAAATATTTTTAAATAATACTTAGTAAATACTTTCGATTTCTATATTTTTATTAAACATATTTTACACATTTTATCGCTTGATTTACAGATCAATGATTTATTGAAAGTGGCGAAAACAAATTTTGTGGTTCTAAAGTTACTCGCTGATGGGCATAAAAAGGATTCCAAAGAACCTCCAGTATTTGATTTCTCATGTCATCAACATTTCCCATTGATAAAATTGATCTAAATTACTTGCGACGGCCATGATTTCATATTATAAATTACATATTATTTATTCTAGCTTTAAACGTGCAAAAAATATTTTTGTGTTGTTGACTTTGGATACCTTTTTTTTTGTCTAATACAATCTTTAATGTTTAATACAATCTCTCCTTTTTCTTTTATTAACAGTACATCCTTCATTGTACAGATATATATTATTTATCGTACATATTTTGTGGATAAATTTCTATAAAAAATGAAAATTATATTTGTATATAGTTTATCATAAATCGTATGCTTTAAGTGAGTTCATGTGAATATTAAGAATGAATGCGACGATCGTTTGCGAAGATGAGGTTTGTGAAATTTACAGATCGTTATGAAATGTAAATAACAGAAGTATAGGATGTATAGTCTCGAAATGTTGTATAGTAATACATCTTATCAATGAAATTGTTAACAGTTCTTGTTAGTGACGTCTGCAACATTTTGAATATATATTGCAAGCTTCAGCTATGTAATACACGTTCTGATAACAGTCTTTTTTATAATAATTCGTAAGTTCATTAATCAAACGAGACCTAAGTTGTTTATGTCTACAAATATATTCCCTACATTTTAGAAAAACATGATTTATATATTATTAAATTCTGTATTGTACAGAAACGAAAGAATATTGCAACACTAAACTGAAATATTAAATTTCCATGTAAAATTACTGATTGAAAGATAAAGTACTTGTAAATTACAAAATTTATGTGAGAAAATGATGTATGTCTAATAAAAATGATAATCTGAAATAGTTGT